TCACCCGGTATACAGAGTGCGCCAGAACTCGCGCCCCACAGAAGGTAAGATACTAGGAACAGGGAAAAATGTTAAAAAAAAATTATCTATATAAATTTCGAAGTTATGAGGGTTTAAATTTTGCACTTTGACTCTATTTATTTCTGTTGGAAAAATAATTTTCCAAGTTTTTTTTGCTATAGTCTATTAAAAGAGGGAACAAGGAAGCTGAATCCTAAGTTATAATTCTGTTCAATGTTATTTTTATAGGCAAAATTTTTGTACCTTTGCTAAATAACTGTAAAAAAACATATACAAGATCATTAAATAGGCATAAAAAATGTTAAATGTCAAAAAATAAACGTCAAAATTTTTTGACAGATAGAATTTTTTAAACATTTTTTTGATTTTCATGGTATCTTACCTTACTTCAAATTTTTTTCTGGGGCGCGAGTTCTGGCGCACTCTGTATAGTTTACAAATATTGTAAAAATTTAGTTTTTCATCAAGTCATTAAACCTAATTTAAAAAATGTAAAAAAGCAATGATTTGACATAAAATTAAAAAAAAAATTCTACAAAATTATGACAATAAAATGAACAAGCAAGAGAATAAATTCTGAAATTTTCTGATGTTTTTGATCGATTTTTTTTCTGTTTAAACTATATTATTATGTTGACAATTGAGAAAAAAAACATGGTGACTTATTGTTTAACATATTGGTGTCAACTTTGACAGTTTTGTGTTATATGTATTTATTAGAATTAAAGTCCAAAAAACCAAATACAAAGTCCAAAATTGACATTTTTTAATTTAAAAATTATTTCATATTCATTATGTGAGTATTGCAAATCAATTTTACCACAACGTGTATCTGACATTTTGATTTATTTCCAGGTTACCCAACTCCTTAAAACTGAATTTTCAGCACTAAAAACTTACATGTAACGTTACTCAATTAGAGCGCGTTTTTCGCTCTTACACCAACCACCAAATAAAATAAAAAATTCGTTAACGCGACTTGCTGAAAAATGTGATTAATGTCTTCTCTCCTGACAAGAATCATTTATTCGTTCGTGTAATTTTTTCCCTTATCGTTTCGATATCTGGAGGCATCGAAGCAATTCTTTTTGAAATTCATTTAGATTGTCGACGCTTAAATTTTCTCACTCGATCAAATACGGTGGGCGCTTTATCAATCATTAGTGTTAACGCAACAGTAAACTTTTAGCGGAAATACGACTTAATTCCAGAGGATTAAGTGGTTATTTCAAAAAAATCATAATTAGGAAATTGAAAGATATCAAGCTTAGCGAGCTTTGGGTTATTTTGACACCAAAAATTGGTTTATTTCGGGCAAATAAACAAGTTTAAAGTACGATGAGACACAAATATCGTGGTTGCGATGACCCCTGCTAAAAAAATTCTGTAAAATCTTGCAAATTGCATCGAGCAAGAAGGCTATGACAAACAAAATTAACTTGTTTATCACAATACCAATATCTTGATGGTTTAATAAAAATTGCAATAAACTCCAATTGCAGTTCCTGTTTAAACAAATTATTCCTCTCGAAGAATCGTTGAACTACGTTTAATTACTAGTTTTATTTAAAATTTTCCGTTCTATTTTTAAAGCATTCCAAGAACAATTTCAGTTTCTTAATATTTTAACAGAAAAGAAATACTTACATTTTACGTTTTTTTCTTAAAATTCGCTTCAAATAAAAAATGGTCAAAATTTCTATATACCAGGTGAGTCAAGTTTTATCCCTAATCCTTTAAAAAGTTTCGGGTATTTACTCATTAAGTGAAAATAGAAAAAAAAAGTTTCTATGGACCTCCTAAAGGAAGCAGGGCCTCAAAAAACTTTTTTGTCA